GCCCACCCTCTTCGCTTCAGACCTTCTGGAATACACATCACTTGCTTTTTGTTAAAACCAAAGAGTTCGGTGACCATAATGAACCACCCTTTTCCATTCCTTTTTAGCACAGCTTCGAACCTCTTGTTCTCACAGGTCAACGAGTTTCTCCAACCTTCTTCTCGAAAGGAATTTACAGCTCCATCTACAAAGCCTTTCAGCCACACACAGGCCTCCTCTGTTAGAAGAATCGACGCCCTGCTCCCTTCTCTGATTTTCAATAGTCTTCCCCTTTGTCCTTCCCTGCTCAAAGAGGAAAGATTTTGCTTCAATGGACAAATCCAGTCTCCATTTCCCCACCAGCTTGAACTTCCTCTCCTCTCCCATGCCTAACTCTGATGCTTCGTATGACTTTAGGTTACCCCAACATAGATATATAGGTACCCGAACTAAATTAATAGGTGGAAAAGCTTGCTGGAGGCCTGGATCTAGGTTAACTCATTTAACTGCTGGAAAGTCATAAATTAGTTGAAGAGCATATAGAAATCAATCTAATCAGGGTAGCACATTGGGTGCCAGCGACAGAAGTTTAAAGGAGTCTCTTTAAATGATTTATTAACGGGATGGAAAACAGTGGCTGGTTTCAAATTGAGCAAACAGAAAACTGTGCTAGCCTGGTCCCCTCCTAGGGTGCTAGTGACAGAAGTATAAAGGAGTCTCTTTAAATGACTTATTAAGGGGATGGCAAACAGTAGCTGGTTTCAAATTGAGTAAACAGAAAACTGTGCTAGCCTGGTCCCCTCCTGCAGCAGGTTAAATCAAGTTTAATTTTGACAGGTGTTGTTTTGGGAATCAGCATGGTAATATTATCTTCAGTTTCACAGGCCCAGCAGGACAAGGTAATTCCTTAAGAGTAGAATTGCTTGCATTAACTCAAAACTTGAAACTAATACGGCAACAAGGATGGAGAGATGTGATTGTTGAAGGGGACTGTCAGACTATAATACATTGGATGAAAGCACAAGATTACCTTCCCTGGGAATTTAGGTAGCTGGTGAGGGGAGCAGTAGCAACTGGAATATTGTTGAATGCCTCATTCAATTGGGTTCCTAGGTCTGCAAATGTGTTGGCAGATTCCTTAGCAAGAGCGGGGATAGGGAAAGAGATTTTAGTATGGGGCTGCCCAGGTCCGGGCTGTAATTTGTAATATCTTTGTTGTAGGGTCTTTTTTGAGTGGTGATCTTCTATATTATATTCTGTTTTGTGCTCCGCTTCTCTGTTTTGAGTAGTTGGAGTCTTTTTATTTAATATATATTCAGTTGCTCATCAAAAAAAGAAACTCATTTAACTGTTGGACTGCAAAACACCAGTTTATACTATATGAAGGAACAGATCAGAACAACTTCATCTCATATGATTATATTTCATATGCATGCATGTTTATTAACCACAAGCAGTTCTAGCATAGGCAGCATGCATTCTTTGTGCATGATCAATTTCAGCCAAAACATTACCATAGAAACTAGGTTCCTTGTCACATAACAGAGAAGTCATTGGCAAAGCACATTCAATTTTACAAACATCAAGCACAACTTTATAGGCTTTTTTTCCATATATGCCACTTTTATTTTTGACTGAGTTTATTGCATTAAACATAAACAGCAAAAAAATCACAAGAAATGGCAACAATGAAAAAGGAAAAGAAAATTTTATAAGAATAATAAAAAAAAACATGCTGATTAAATAAAATTGATGTATCAATAAAAGCCAAAAACAAATGCACGTAATGCACAACATTCTAAACTCAAAGGCATATGCCAAAAAGAAAATAGTTACTAAGAACAATAACAAGAATAAGACAACTTGAGTTCCTTACTGAAGCTAGAAAAACTTTGGCTGCAGACATAAAATCTTCAGTCTTTCCACCAGTACATGAGCCTATATACACTCTGTCTATTTTTACATCTTTGCATTCTCTTGCTAAAGCACGATTATCTGGAGAGTGAGGCTGCAGAATATGAAGAACGGAGATAGCTAAATGGATAGGCATTTTGATGAAGAACGGAGAAAACAAAGTTCATGAGACAATTTGCCAGATTATAACAGAAAGAATGTCTCATTTCAGGAGCCTGACATGAAAAGTAAAACTTAGAACCTCACCTTTGCCACCAAAGGTTCCAGTTTGGAGACATCAAACCTGTACTCACTTAAAAATCTAAAAAACAAGGTAATAACCTCATCAGTACAAGGTAAAATTTTGTAGGAAAAATAAATTGAATAGAACAAAGAGATTTTGAAAAAGGAGATAACTACTATTTGTCATTTTGTAAAGAAGTCAAGTTTTTTATAGCAAACAAATGTAAAGAGACTGGACCGAATGGGCCCTAACAGCCTCTCATGTGATATCCTTTATTTTATCTTTTATTTTATGTTGATGGGCCTCACTTAATGGGCCTGTTATTTGTTCTTATTTTACTTTCTTTATGTAACTGCCAAGCTGGCCGCCCACTTAAGGGTATACTTGTCATCATCAATTTTTTAGAGTTTAATAAAAAAATAGGGTTAGAGGAGAAGGGTAACTAATTTGACTTCTTCTTCTCTTACCTCTTCTCTCCGCCATCTTCCTCTCTTATACAGTTATTCAGATCTGTTCTATTCTGCTAATCACTAAATTTAATCTTGATATTGGAGGACTGATTTACATCTTGGTATCAGAGCAGGTTCAGTTCCTCTTCCTTCTTTTTTCTTTGTTCATGTACACTCTAAAATCAAGAGAGTGTATGGAGAGATAGGTTCTCTATAGTATAGAGAATCACTTGCC